CCCCAAAACCCCAAAACCCCATAAAGAGTCATACATCAGTTTTGAACGTTCATGCAAATAAATATAGATTTATAAAACAAGAATAAGTATTATCAATTAACTACAGGTTTTAACAAAATGGATAAAGTGCACTAATACTCAATAGATAAGCTATTACCTTTGGGTAAAATTAATAATTTGGAGGAGGAATCTTTATAATTAAGCCAGAGTTGTCCTCTACTATTTGCCTTTTCAACCAGAATTCCGGAATCTGAATTAAGCGAAATCAAGATTAATGAATAAAGGTGTATCAATAGTAAAAGACTTAAGTCATGTCAATGAGTATTTTAAATTCCAAGAGCAGAGACTAGATATTCTATAAAAAGAATTTCGCAGATTGAGATGTTCTAATAAAAAACCCTAAGATGTGAAAGAGATCAGCTTATTCAAACCTTTCAAGGAATCATTGATGAGAGCAAAAAAATAAAAGCATCACAGATTTAATTAGATCAAATTCTATCAAACGTGAAATAGGGCAAAATTCCAGACTTTGGATTTTTAAATGAACTTACTTTCGGTGATGAGAAAGTAGGCTGGCATTTATTTGGAGGTGTCATCAGTCCATTTCCCAAGTATTAAAAGCTAGCAAAGTACGTGCAAGAATAGCTTTCATAAAAGGAAGATCGAGAACGAATTGCATAGATAGAAAGAAAAGTCAGAATTAATAACCTTCCAAAGCGGAGATCAAGCATTATAATGTAAAACAAGAACCTTATACTGAAGGCAGTATAATTTATGGATGACAGAACGGATTCATAATCTTCACCTCATAAAAATTTTGAGAATCGCTAGAAAGGTATTGAATCTATCACAAACTTCACAATGAGAAGGAGATTATATCTTCGAGAGAAATTAATAAAACTTAAATTCTACGAGTTAAAAAATGATGCTGATAACTTAAAAGAGGAATTCGATAAATTTTGTAACACAATCGAATTGATAAAGATCAACCAATCCAACAGAGAAATATTGGAAACTCTAGAAAAAGCAGAGAAATTCAGGCCATCTTCTCCAAACAACAAAAAGAAATCCTCATCTAGATTAGATAATATATAGTCCAAGCTTAAGCTTAACGGCATGTGTAGTAGCCCAAAGAGATATTAAAGTGTATCACCTAAACTAAGATCCATTAATAAACGTAATTCAATTCTTAAAAATAAAGATGACCTTAAGATCCACTAAAAAGCAAAACTGTTGCTAGAATGCGAATGTGAAATGGTTAATTAAAAATTATATTCTGCATTGAATGACTACCTATCAAAGTTCGTATTGAATAATAAAGATAAGGAAATAAAAGAAGAGATCAGAGAAATTAAAAGAATATTATGGAAGAAAAAAATACCACCAAAGGTAATAGACGATATTATCCATAAGAACAACATAAATCTGAATTCTCAACAATCAAGTTAGCAAACTGAAAAAACTGAGGGAACTATTGTAGCCCCAAAAATAAATTTACCTTCAAGCCAAGAGTATCATATGAGGAATTCAAATATTTCTTAAATACACCATCAGCTTAATAATCTATTCAAAGAGAACAACATATCATCTTTGAATTTAAATGAAGATTTGAATTAATCAGAAAGTGATGATGATGATGATAGTTTTTCCTCTAATGAGTAGAATGTATTAGAATTAAAGGAAAGTAACAATAAATCTTCAAACAATTTGGAAAACGCAGCATTGGATAAGAAAAATTCTCAGCAAGCAAAGTAACTTAATAAATAAGAGTCTTTGTAAACTAGGGCTTCTTCACCAAAGAAATTAGTAGTTCAAGACTTTATCCATAAAAATAACTTTAAATTTAGGTGTATCTAACTGATTTTAAGACTTAAAAATATCAGTTAAAAACTTCTAACGAAGCTCGAGCTTTAGAAAAAGGTACATAAAAATGATTGGTATTTGAAGAAAATATAAGCCATTAAAAGAGCAATAAAATATATTAAAAAGTATTAACTAGACGAGGATCAGAAATTATTGGAAGAGCTGAAATTTTACAAATTATAGGAAATTAATGATGAAATAATAAAGCTTTAAATGTTTGCTAAAACAGAAAGACTTCACTCGTAAAAGTGTGGCAACAATTAGATATTCAGTTAGACTACAATACTTAATGATACAATAAATTATGGAAATGCGCCTTTTAAAAGTAGTACATTTGCCTCTTCTTTAAAAGACAAAGATGCTTAAACTACTAGAGCTAATATGATATTCGACATAGATAAAACACTGAAAAAAAATCTTCAACCTAAACTTCATAGCCAAAAAAGAAGGAATTTCATTGAAAAACTTGAGGTTAAGCTCTCGAACAATTAATCTTATTTCAAAGCCTCCTCTATAGATCGAAATAAACCTGCTGAAAATTTTAACTCTATAAATTTCTTGCATAATGTACCCCTAAGAAAAACTTCAACTGCAATCGGGGTGCGTAAAATTATGAGTGCAACTTAAGCTAATAGCCCTACCACAGCTTCATCTCCTATTGTGAATGTCCTTTCAAATAAAACAATAGGGGATCTTGGAATGCATATTCATCTCAAGCACAGACCTAGAATATTTAGTAATCAAAGCTCATTAGCTTGGTCACCAATTAGAGCACATAAGCAGGAAATCCAGAATCATAAAATAAAAGAAAAAGAAAAGATTAATTAAATATTTGACTTCAAAGAAGTAATAACAAGCCAAAGCAATTTCAGGAAACGAGAGACAATGTCCTACGATAACAAATTAGAGAAGGCATAAAATAAATCTTTGGAGTTGGGTATTGCTAAAAATGATAATCTCAATGTTATATCTTAGAAGTCTAGTTAAGTTTAAAGTAATCCAGGGACCGAGTAAAAGAAATCCAAAAAACATCTTGCCATGAAATTCGATATAAACTTAATGTAGACTGTTGTCCAGGATATGATGTAGAAAAGATAGTTAAACTATGATAAGATTGGGATAAATGAAGCTGGTATTAAATTTGACTTAGATTTAAAGCAGCAAATCAAAATGAGAAAGCTAAATTAGTCTGATAGGAATGCAATGTAGTGATATAGTATTAAAATTTCTCATATTAACAGAAATAAGAATAATTTTTACGTAAATTTTTTACTTAAGACAATTTTAAACAAACTAATATTTCGGGGTTTTGGGGTTTTGGGGTTTTGGGG